AGCGATGGCGACCTCATCGCGCGGGCCATTGGCGATGGGCGTCGGCGGCCTGGCGGTGTCCACCGTCCCCGCCCCCGCCTCTTCCCCCACGCAGAGGAGCTGGTGGGCATCGACGACGTGGTCGCCGTCGCGGCGGGGTGGAATGACGTCTGCGGGCGTCTCACCGCGGAGGAGCTGGCGACCCTCGACGACTGCGTCGAGTACTGCGGCGCGATGCGAGCGGCGTGGGACCGGCGCTGGCGCGCGGCGGAGACGCAGACGCATTGAACCCCCGCACGCACACATGGCGTCGCCGCGGAGCACGCTGAAGGCATCGGCCCCCCAATTCGCTCCTTTTGCCCTCCGATGTTTTTTTGTCTCCTCCTCTCCTCCCCTTTTTCCTTTATCGCTCTCTCGCTCGCTCACTCATTCACTCACTCACTCACTCCTTCGCGCTTTACTTATTTCGCTTGCTCCTTTTCTGTCTTTTTTCTTTTCCTTCGCTCCCTTGTCGTCTCGCGCTCCACGGCTGAGAGAGAGGGAGTTGTGCACGCGCGCCGCAGTCTGCGTGCGGTCCAGCCAGCGATGTTCGCGAGGAAGCGGTCGGCGGTACACGAGGTGCGGGGGCATACGGCAAGGCGGGGTGGCGGCGGCGTCACACGCAGCGACATCGGGTGCGGCGTCGTTGGCTGCTCGCTCTGCGCGGCCGCCGTCTGCGGCGAGCGCGGGCCGTGTGTGGTGCCCACCGCGCCCATCATCATCCCCGACACCAACGTTGTCCTGCATAACATGAACGCCCTGGAGGACGCCCGGGTGCAGAACATCGTGTTCCTCTCGACCGTCGTGTCGGAGGTGCAGAACCGCAATAAGGCCATCTACGCGCGTCTGCAGCGACTCCTGCGGGAGGAGCGGAAGCAGTGCTACGCCTTCCCCAACGATCACCACGACCAAACGCACTGCATGATGGAGCGCGACGAAACCCCCAACGACTACAACGACCGCTGCATTCGCGTCGCAGCGCGGTGGTACGGGCGGCACGTCCTCCTCGCCTTTCCGGCCTCGCCGCCAAGCGTGGTGCTCGTCTCGCACGACAAACTGCTTCGGCAGGCCTTCACCACGGCCGCGGAGGAAGGCGCCACCCCGAACCTGTCCTGTGTCACGCTGCGACAGTTTCTGGAGCAGGCGGTGAGTACCGGGTCGGACCTGCTGGAGAAGATTCAGTGCGAGCAGCCGGCAGGGATGAAGGAGTCGCCCAAGGCGGGGGCGCTCTTTCAGCCACACGTGGCGGCCGCTGCATTGGAGGCAGGAATACACAACGGCGCCTACCTTCGCGGCAAACTGCGCGTGAGTGAGACGAATTGCTTTTTCGGGGAAATCCGCGGGCAGTGGGAGGGGCACAACTTCCCCCGCGTCCTACTGCCCGGCCGCGCCAACTTGAACCGTGCCATTCACGGCGACATTGTTGCCGTTGAGCTGCTGCCGATGTCGCTTTGGCGCGGCCCGAAGGATGCAAAGCCGCTTGAGGACGACGCCACAACGGAGGCGGCGGCGCTCGCGGCGGGTTACACGCCAGTGGGGAGGGTGGTTGGGATTACCAACATGGAGCGGCGGCCGTTCTGCGGTAGTATTGACGTGGAGGAGCTCAAACGTCTCACTGCGGCGCAGGCGACGGTGTCGGGTGCGGTCAGTGTGTTGTTTCAGCCAAAGGACAACCGCATTCCGCGCATCCGAATTTCCACGCGGCACCTGGAGGACCTGAAGGACAAGCGACTGAGCGTCATCATTGACGACTGGCCGGAGTACAACAGCTTCCCTGTGGGCCACTACGTCGAGGTGCTCGGGACCATTGGGGACAAGGACACCGAGGCCAAAGTCATTCTCCTCGAGAACGACGTCCCCCACTACGACTTCAGTGAGGCCGTGTATGACTGCCTGCCCAAGGGACAGTGGAGCGTCTCGACGGAGGAGCTGGGACGTCGACTGGACCTGCGGGACTTGTGCGTCGTCAGCGTGGACCCGCTCGGGTGCCGCGACATCGACGACGCGCTGCACTGCCGCGTCGTGAACGGCAACCACCTGGAGGTGGGAGTTCACATTGCGGACGTCACGCACTTTTTGCGGGAAGGCACAGCCATGGATGAGGAGGCGGCGAAGCGTAGCACCAGCGTCTACCTTGTTGACAGGCGAATCAACATGCTGCCGCAGCTCCTCACGGAAAACCTCTGCTCAATTGTCGCCGACGAGGACCGCTACGCCTTCTCAATCATGTGGGAGTTTGATGAGAATTACAACGTGGTCCGCGACTACTTTGGAAAGACGGTGATTCGCTCCCGCGCGGCACTCTACTACGGGGACGCGCAACGCATGATAGACGACGCCAACGACACAAGCGAGATCGCCGTTTCGCTGCGGCACCTGATGAACATCAGTCGCCATTTCAAGGCGAAGCGGGAGAAGGACGGCGCCCTGTTCCTCGCCTCACAGGAGTTTAAGTTTAAGGTGGACAACGACCACGTGAATCCCACGGACATGCAGGTGTACCAAACCTTCGAGGCGAACTCCATGATTGAGGAGTGGATGCTCTTCGCCAATGCGGCGGCGGCGCGGAAGGTGTATGCGAGCTACCCGCGCTGGACTCTCTTGCGCCGCCACCAGCGCCCCGCGGAAAACGCGTTTGACACCTTGAATGAGGCCCTGCAGCGAACAGTTGGCCTTCAGCTTGACGACACGACTTCCTTGACGCTAAACAACTCACTTAATGCCTGTATCGACCCAAACGACGCGTACTTTAACCGACTGATCCGCATCCTCGTCACACGCTGCCTGCGGCAGGCGCAGTACTTCTCCAGCAGCGAGGTTCCACAGGATGAGTTCTACCACTTTGGCCTCGCCATGCCAATCTACACCCACTTCACCTCCCCCATTCGCCGGTACGCGGACGTGGTTGTGCACCGGCAGCTGGCGGCGGCTCTCGGCATAATGCAGGTTAGTGAGATGCACACCGACTCGGTCAAGATGGAGGCCCTTGCGGGGAACATTAACTACCGCCACGAGCAGGCGCAACGGGCAGGGCGCGATTCTCAGAACCTCTTTACAGGTTTTTACCTGCGCAACTTTGCGGACCAGGCCATACCGGATGAAGACGGGTACGTCGTGAAACTCTCCGAGACTCACGTCTTTGTGCTGGTTCCAAAGTATGGTCAGGAGGGAAAGATTCCGAAGGAGCAACTCTTGCGTGTGCCAGACCTGCTTGAGCGGGTTCGGGTTGGCATTGAGGTGCGCCGGCAGGGCGATGTGCTGCGAACCACGCTGGCGTTTTCGCTGCTTGGTATGATGAAGGCGGGGGACGAGGAGAACGAAGGGAGCGACGTCTGCCCCGGGGCGAAGAACGAGGAGCCATCGGCAGCGGACGAGGTGGCGGGCGAGACGGAGCCGGTGCGGAAGAAGCCGCGGGTGATGAAGGGGGAGGCGAAGGAATAAAAGCCCGGCTTTGGTTTGTTTGTCTGTTTTTTTCTTTCTCCAACTCTCCACTCCACTTGGTTCGAGTGTAAGAGACATAAGACACAATGTCCACATGTTGTTGTTGTTGTTGTTGTTGTTGTCCTTCTTTTCCACCCCTCCGTCCATCCTCGCTGTTCGGTGGGTTGTGTGGAGGAAACTGGACGCACGCCGCTTCTTGTGACTTTCAAGGAACTTTTTTTTTTCGTTGTTGTTGTTGTTTGCTTTTTTGCTTTCGTCTTCTTCTGCTTTGCTCTCCGGATACGTGTGCGCGTCGCATCTCCTTCAGTGAATCTACTCGCTTCTTCCTAATGAATGGGAGGCTGCATCGCCTGCTCCGGCGGCTGGCGTCACCGCTGCTGGCCACGCGCCTGACAAAAGAGGAGCTGTGCCTGTCCATGGCCGCCGTGTCGCGGCTGCGGCTGCGCCAGGAGGAACTGCTGGGCCTCCCCCTTGACCCGATCGTAACGCGAACCCAGCGCGTCAGTCACCTGTGCAGCCCAACGGAACTTGGGATGCTCTCAGATGGCGCGGCCGCACTTTTCTGCAGCCGCGCCGACATGGCCGACACACTTGTCTGTGCGTTGTACACTGCGATGGGCAAGGGCGCCGCCGCGCGCCTCGACCACGTGACGGCTGTGGTTCGCTACGCAGCTACGCTGGGGTCGTACAGCAGTGAGACAGTGCCGGCCATCCTCATGTCGGCGCCAAGGCTGCTGCACAAGAAAGATTCCGCGAGTGCGCTACACTCCTTTTTGCGGCTTGCGCGGTCGCACCTCACCGAAGAGGACTTTGATTCACTGCTGGAGGAGCTGCGAACGAGGGCCGGCACGGAGCAGGTAAAGTGCATCCACGAGGCTCGTCAGCCGCCGCCGCCTGCTGAAAGTAAACCGCGAACCATAGTCGCAGAGAATGAGGATGATGTGGAGGATAGCGGTAAGACTGCCTGGACGTCGCCGCGTGCACGGAGCTGGATGTCGCAGCGGGTGCGAAAGGGTGAGGCATGGTCGCCGGGCGAAGTCGTGCAGGCCATGGAGTTTTACACCCACTTTGGCGTGCGGGATCCTGTTTTACAGAGCAAAATCGATGAAGCCGCGGTGTCGGTTATGCCTGCGGCGAGCAAGTTTGACATGGAGGGGATGCTGAAGGTCGTGGCGACGTCCTCTCATCTCTTTCCTCAGACGGCCGAACTCGTGCGACAGCATCGCTGTAAGTCCTCAGCGGTGCAGCAAAATGGGACCGACGGCGGCAGTGGTTCGGTGTCCTCAATGACGAGGAATTTCAGAACGACAGAGGCGTACGAGCGGCTGTTGGCGGGTCAACGCATACCGGAGGATTGGATGTTTGAGGTGATGCAGGAGCAGGGGGCCGCAGTCCCCATTGATGTGGCGGCGCAGGCTGCCTGCATCTTCGCCGAGAAGGGTGGGATACCAGAGGGAACTATTTTGCAGCTGTCCATGCAGTTGAAGGAGCTTTCCCCAGAGGGCGTGGCTGCATTCCTCAGAGTGATGCGGCGGGATTCATCAGGAGCTCTGCTGCTGCACGGTGTAGCTCTTATTTCCCATTTTGTCGAAAGAGGTATGCGGGAGGCCACTGTAGAGACGTTGCTGCGGATATGTACTGCGTGCTCACTGCCACTTCCGCGTGGGGTTGATGCGAAAGATAATTATGCATTTGCGGAGGCGCAAGGCCGGTTGGCGGAAGCCATCATTACACAACTCATCTCTGTGATGCAGGGACCCTGCACACTCCCGTTTCTCTGCAAGGTAGCGAATTCGACGTCCGCCATTGACGCAAATAACGAAATTGTTCACTTCGTCTGCTCAAGCGTGTGTGCCCAAACGCGTTGCCTCACGGTGCAGGAGGCATTAGACCTGCTGGATATGCTGCGCTGCCGCAACTATGTGCATGAGCCGCTCCTCGACAAGTTGGAACCGCTCTTTCGTGAACTTGTGCAGCTGGCGGTCTCCAAAATGGAGGCCGGTGAGGAGGTGCCAGAGGCTGAAACACGAAGCGTTGCCCGCTTCATCGCTTTACAGGCGCTCTTTGACGCCCCTGACTTTGAGGCGTCCGCGTCGTTGGTGCTGCACACGGTAGTGCAGCGCATGGATCACACCCCTGCCGAGATTCTTCCAGCTGCGGGTCTAATTGCTTTGAAGCAAAGACGAATAACCACTGCCCACACGATACTAGGTGGGATTGCAGGGAACGCGTCTACACTCTCCGAGGCGGCCCTTGGTGAGCTTGCACAACTGCTCTTTCTGCCTACACTGGGCTCACCAGGGAACGACCTCGTAGGTGAACTCGTTGCTGTGCTGGCGGCACGCCTGGCGCAGCAGCGGGATCTCCCACCCGACGTTGTGGGCTTGGCTGTCGCGGTACACTGGCAGTGCGGTGACGCCGGGGATGGCGTTCCGGCGAATGTCCTGGATCACCTGCTGGAGTGGATGGGGGCTCTCTCTGCGGCGGTGTATACCGCGTTGTGTGGCGCCGTGCACCTCTCGCGGGCCGGGGACGCGCTGGTCAACACCCTTATCGATGACTTTCCACGGCGGTTGGATCAACTCACCACGAGCGAGATTGCCAGTGTCGCATTTGGGCTTGGCGAGATCGACGGCGTGGGGCTGCGCCTCTCCCATCAGCTCATGGCAGAGAAGTGCTCGGACTACGTCGTCGACAACTCCCATGAGTTTTGGAGCGGAAACGACATTGCGCGTCTGCTGTACGGCTTTTCACGCATGCTGTGCACGAAGCGAAGCCTCTACAACGTGTTTGCCGCGCGCCTTGCGCTGCGGCCGGTACTGCTGCCGATGGACCAGCGGGCGATCACGCTCGTCGTTGCCGCCTTTGGCAGGTCCAAGTATCTGGACAAGGCGCTGTTTGACAAATTCTCGCGCCGTATGCTGGAGAACTCCGACGCGCTCGCAGCCCCGGACTTGATGCTTGCGATCCGGGGCTTTAGCCGCGTGATGCTGCTCAACCGACCGCTCTACAACGAGCTCGGCAGCAAGGCCGCGGAGAAGGCGGATGAATTTCCGCTTGACTCCAAGTGTGCCCTGCTTGCCTCCTTTGGGTCGCTGGGCATTGAACACGAGAAGCTGGCGAACCGGGCTCTTGAGGGCATCGTGGAGAATATGGCGCAGCTGGAGAGCGCCAACAAGGCTGTGGACGTCATCGCTTCTTTGTGGCAGATGCACCACGACGTCGAGGATGACGCGCGGGTGGCTCAGTTGGCGGGCTGGGTCGCAGAGCGGTCGGAGGAGCTCACGGGGGACGCCATTGGAAAACTCTGCGTTGTTCTCAGCGAGACAAACTGGCGCCATGTTCCGCTTCTGCAGGCCATGGCTGAGCAATCCGTGCGATTGCAGCTCCAGCAAGGCGTTTCCGCCGAGTGCTGCAGGGCGGTACTGGATACATTAGGCACCTTCATGATTCATCATCAGGGGGCGCGCGAGAGCCTCTCCGCCCTAGGGAGGAGTGTAAGTAAGGAACGCATACAGCTTTCAGAGGAGGAGGAACAGCAAATTCAACTCCTGCTGCGCCGCTAGCTCACCCAGCATCTCTTCACATTCTCTCCTCTCTCTCTCTCTCTCTCTCTGTCTCTTTCTATTTGTGTGTGCGGGTTCGTATTGATGGGGAATGCGTTTCCTACTATTAATTTCCGCTGCGGTGGGTGGGCTGGTGTAACACGTATACATGTGTCCGCATGTAGCTCCCCTGAACTCGGCTCTCCCTTTTTTGTTGTTGGTTCTTCTCTACGACTGCCGCCGGAGAAGGTTTGACCCCTTTGAGCTCTTCACCCCCTTTGCCCGCTCTGAGGGCACACACGCATACACACACGTGCGCCCCCAACACGGAGAAGCGGCGAGACTGCAAGGCTGTGGGGAAGAGTAAGGGACGAGGTGCGTGCTGGATGTGAGGGAGTCGGCGTCTCTAGGAGGGTTTTCACCCTTTCCGCTCCTTACGCGTCAGCAGCAGGGGCACCACAGCTGCGTTTGGAAAGAAACGAAAGGGATTGTGGGTGTGGCAAACACCACCACTACCACAACCACAAATTGACTGTCTTTATCCCTTGCTCTTTTTTCTCTGTCGTCTTTGTTGTTTTTGTGCCGCCATTAGGTATCCTCAGTATAAGCGAAGACACCCACGCCATGGCTGAAGCCCACTCAACCCAAAACAAGGAGAAGGGGATTCCCGACTGGCGAACATGCATTCTTGACTCCGTCCTCGACGCCGTCGGAAGCACCCCATGTATCCGGCTGAATCGTGTGCCGCAGAAGCACGGTGTGACGTGCGAGGTTGTTGCGAAGTGTGAGTTCCTCAACCCATGTGGCAGCGTCAAGGACCGCATTGCCCGGCAAATGGTTCTGGACGCCGAAGCAAGTGGTCGCCTGCGCCCCAACCAGTCCATTGTCGAGGCGACAAGCGGCAACACCGGTATCGGGCTTAGCATGGTGGCGGCGGTGAAGGGGTATCACATGGTCATCACCATGCCAAAAAAGATGTCGCACGAAAAAGAGGTGGTGATTCACTCTCTGGGGGCAGAGGTGATTCGAACGGAGACGGCACTGCCATGGGATCACCCAGAGAGCCTCATTGGCGTCGCGCGCCGCCTGGAGAAGGAGAAGGGCTACGTGTTGCTGGACCAGTACAAGAACCCATCCAATCCGAAGGCGCACTACGAAGGCACAGCCGAAGAGATTTACAACCAGTGCGGCGGAAAGCTCGACATGGTGGTTATCGCCGCCGGAACTGGCGGCACCGTGGCCGGGGTGTCAAAGCGCCTGAAGGAACTCTTGCCCAACATTATTGTGGTCGGCGTCGACCCGTACGGGAGCATTTTGGCCGATCCTTCCGCCCCAGCCTCGCCAACGCCGTACCTCGTTGAGGGCATTGGGTACGACTTTGTGCCGGATGTCTGTGAGCGGCAGTACGTTGACCGCTGGGTGAAGTCCGGCGACAAGGAGAGCTTTGCGCTGGCCTCGGAGCTCCACCGCGATGAGGCCCTCCTCGTCGGGGGAAGCAGCGGGTCCGCCATGTGGGGGGTTCTCCAGGCCGCGAAGGAGCTTCGTCCGGACCAGCGCTGCGTGGTGGTGTTCCCCGACGGCATCCGCAACTACATGACGAAGTTCCCGGACAGAAATTGGATGATTGAACAGGGCCTGCAGGAGGGCGAGATAACACGCCCAACGTATGAGTCGCTTCAGGCTCAGCTAGAAGCAGCAAAGAAAAAGTTGTCGGTGTATGAAGCAAAATACAACTCCAGTGTGTAGGATGGCGAGGGAGAGATGTGGTACTATAATCAAGGGATGCAAGCGAAAAAAAAAAAGGAAGAAAAAAAAGAGCAACCGCATGTGCACACTCTCAGTCTTGGCAACAGTGATATGCCAGTGTCACAATCCCAGACAATGCAGCGGCTTGCAAAGGAAGGGGGAATTGTTTTGGCTATCGTATGGGTGAAACAACAACAAGGACAGGGAAGCCGTGTGCTGGGCAGCGATAAAATGATGAGGGTTGATTCACGAAGAGGGTTTTTTTTGACGGGTTGATGTAGCGGGAAAGGAATCAAAGAAGAAAAAAAATGTGGATGGGGGTCAAGGGTGACTGCTGCACACACGCGCTAGAAAAGACATACTTTAAAAGGTGAATATAAATTTATAGCTACATACATATATAAATAAATATATGAAGGGAAAGTAGGGTCTGTTGGTTTTTACGGCAGCATGGGGCCTGGTTTTTCGTTGATGGACAGAAAGAAAATCGAGTGCTTTGATCCCGGTAAGGAGAACGTACAGATGAAAAAAAAACCATGAAAGCCTTCAAGTAGAGGTTATTTTTTATTGGGTTTTTATTTTTATTTGTTTTTGTTGTTCTTGTTTTAGTGGTCTTCGCTTGAATTCTTTTCAAAGGCAGACAGACGAAACAAACGCATTCCATGCAGTGCATTTTCTTTCGCCTACTTGTTTGCAACTTCCTGTCGATGCGCGCGCGCTTGCGTGTGTGCGTGTGTGTGCGTGTAGGGGGTGGGGGCGCCGAGGAGTGTTCATTTGGCGCGTCGGTCGAAGTCACCTGCCTTGCTTCTGGCTTTGCTTCTTTTTGCATTTGTGGTTGCGGCAAGCGAGATGAACAGCGAGGAACGGATTCGGTACGACCGCCAGGTGCGGTTGTGGGGCAAAGCCACGCAGCAGCAGCTTCAGCAGACGGCGGTGCGCGTGTGCGGGGTGACGGCTGCCGTGGCGGAGGTGGCCAAGAATTTGGTCCTTGCGGGGGTGCGCTCCGTAGCCGTGGAGGACGCGGGTGCCGTGGACGCCGGCGACCTCACGGCCAACTTCCTCCTCCAGGGCCACGCCCTCGGCGAGGCGCGGGGTCAGGCGTGCGTGGGGCGGCTCCAGGCGCTGAACCCGTACGTTGCCGTTGACTTGACGACGGAGGCGGCGGGGGCCTCGACGCGCGGCACCGCCTTTGCGGTTGCCCTCATCTGCGTCCGAAACCTTGACGACGCCATGCTAGACGTTTGCCACCAGCGCGGCACGGGGATCGATTTGGTGGTGCTTGTGGCGGGGCTTGGCGAGCTGACGATGGGCATGTTTTTGTCAAAGCGACAGTCGCTCTCGTACGAAGAGCAGTTAAAGATGTTGCTTGCGACAAATGTCTCCCTCAGACCTGCGCCCTTTCAGCGGGCGTTGCTGCGGATGAGAATGACGGAATGCCCTGAGGAGCTGTCGTTCTTTGCGCGGCTTACCTTCGCGAGGGACATCGTCGCCCGATACAACTTGTCACAACTCACGAGAGAAGACGTCGAGCAAGCAGCTAGTTTTCCGCTACGTGACCAGATGGGTACCGCGATTGAGGCGACTGTTGCGGGCGGCATCCTCGCACAACTCATTATTCGAGAGGTAAGTTGCATGAAAGATGGACCGGGGGACGAAATCTACAGCTGGGTTCTCTGTGACAGCAGCAAAGGCATAGATGTCCAGGTTGGACACTTGCACGGCCCCTAGTCGCCCGTCACTTCCATGGGCATCCTTCCCGTGGCGCCCTCTGCCAACTTTTATTCTTACTGCTCTTATATCTCCCTATGTTTTCATGGGCTTAAGCGGTCCTCCTGTGTTTAAGCGCGCAACATTCATTTCGCAATTGTCTTTCTTGCTGACCTTGTTGCTTTGCCCTGGTTGATGGGCTCGGATACAGTATACTAAAATTTTGTTACCAAGAAGCAAATGTCAAGGAAATTCTCACTGGTCGTTCTTGGGGCCACAGGCTACACTGGGAAACTGGTCTGTGAGTACCTTGCACGGCTTGGCCCGGGCAAAGTGGGACCCTGGGCGATTGCGGGCCGCAGTAAAGAGAAGCTGGATGCACTAAAGAAGGAGCTTGGCCTGGACGTCGCCGTGCTTTCTGCGGACATTGCCAGCCCCAGCTCCCTTGACAAGGTCTGCGCCGGCACCACTGTGCTCATTTCGTGCGCCGGACCCTTTACACGGATTGGGATGCCCGTCGTGGAGGCCTGTGTACGCTGCCGAACGCACTACGTGGACTCGACGGGTGAGCATAATTTTGTCCGTCAGGTCATTGAACGGTTCCACGAGGAGGCGAAGAAACAGGGTGTTGCGCTGGTGTCCTGTTGCGCCTTTGACAGCGTTCCTGGGGACCTGGGCAACTACGCTGTGCGTCAAGGCCTTGGGGCACAAGTGGAGGAAGTAAAGGCGTTTTACCAGTTGTCGAGCCCCGGGTTGTCGGGCGGTACGGCACGCTCTATCTTTGCGGTCCATGAGGCCTGCGACCCAGCAGACAGGGACCCCTACAGCCTGCTCCCGAAGGATGCTCCGCGACCCCCCACAGCGCCCACGCGGAGAGGGGTGTGGTACGACGTCTCAGAGAGGAAACTGACGGGGCCGTTTGTGATGGCCGCCACCAACGAACGCGTGGTGCGTCGCACAAATGCCTTGCTTGGCTACGGCGGCACCTACGTGGAGGCGCAGGAGGGAACGATGGGAACCGTTGTCGGCGCAACTATTGCGGGGTATCTGACGGCGGCGGTGCTTGCTGTCCCCTTCCTCCGTCGCTACATCGCGGAGCACTGGCTGCCACCGGCGGGAACAGGCCCCACACAGTCGCAGAGGGAACTGTCGTGGTACAAGTGCGTCTTTGTCGCCGTCGATAAGTCCGGGAAGGTGCTGCGGCGCGTCATCCTCTCCGACACGCGCGACGGGTACACGGCAAGCGGCCTGTACATTGCGGAAGCGGCTCTCAGTGCGCTGCAGC